GACCCTGGCTCTGGGTGGTGGGAGCCAGGTCCCAGCTCAGGCTGTGTCCCTGAGGCAGGGGGAGGAGCATCCCACTAACCCTAACCCAGACCAGCATCTCCTAAACCTCCTGCACAGCCTCAGGTGACGGCCACATGTGTGTGTGTGTGTGTGTGTCCCACCCCCCTACCCCTGGGACCACAGGGGAGAGGAGAAACGGGGATTTGGGCTTTTGTGTTTCCTTCTGACCCAGTTTCATGGAGAATTGATGCCCAGGGGAAGTGATGCTTTTGCTGATGGAACGTTCAGACTTGGCAAAGCTGCTCCTGAACCTCAACCGTTTCCTTCTCTTCTCCTCCAACAGATTTGATAATAACGATGGGTATTATCATTAGTAATAAAATATACCTGATGTTCTCCTCCACGTCTTTCCCTCTGGCCAGGGCTGCAGCAGGCAGGAGAGCAGCGTGGTACCTGGGATGTCCTTGTGTACCTGCATGGGGCTGCTCGGCCTTTCCAGGTGCAGGCACAGCCAACTCACAGGGTTTGTGCAAGGGAAGACCAGGAATGGGATTTAGCCAACCAGATCCTCACCTTGAACCTGACAGCCAGAAACAGCAAATAACCAGGCAGAGAAGAACATGGCAGCGTGTACATCCTTTTACTTCATCTAAAAGCATAAGAGGGAGAAGCAGCCAAACTGGTGCAAGACGCTGCAGCTCCATTTGATGCCCTGATTTGGGGGTGACCACCTGGGACACTGACCCATGGGGATGCTCCTCCCTTTGGCGCCACTGGGGATGGAAACAGAGGCCAGAAAGGCCAATGAAAGTCCTCCAGAGTGCTGGAAATCGGGATATTTGGGACATGAAGCTTGTGTTTGGGTAGGAAGGGAGAGCTTCATGGGCACAATGTGATGTGGGCCCCCTCGCCCCACACCAGGAACCAGGGGTGGATGCTCTCCCCTTTGAAGGAGGCTGCTGGGAAGGTGAAGATCAGGGATCTCTTATCGGCATCGAAAAATGCCACCTGACCCTTGTCATAGTCCAGGGAGACCCGGACCCTGGTGGGCACCTGGACCTGGTACAGCGGGATGCGCTCGAGGGAGGTGAGAGCCCAGAACTGCCCCTCACAGAGCCCCATGGACCAGAGCTCCATCCCAGGGCCCTCGGCAGCCTCCTCCCTCCTCCCCCCGACAGCCCAGGAGCCTCTGGGGGCCACCTCCACCTCCCAGCAGCATGTCCCCACGGTGATGCCCTCATGGCCCAGGACACAGGGGTCGGTGCCCAAGCCCTCAGCACAGGGCTCCTGGTGGGAATCATTGTCCCACCTCACGCTCCTCTTGTCGGCCGACACCAGGAGCTGCGGGTGGGCAGTGGATGGGTCCAGGGTCACCTTCACTGCGAGGGGCAGAGAGAGACCATCAGAGGAAACCAAACCACGTCCCATGGCCCCAGGTTCTGCCTCTCTGCTGGGGCTGTGGCACCATCATCCCGTTGCTTGGGGTGCTCTGCCCTTGCTGTGAGGTGCTGGTTGCTTTCCCCATCCCACAGGGCTCAGGAGCAGCTTCCCAAGGGAAGAACAAGAGCAGATGAGTAGGAGACCCCCATCCTTTAGGGTGTTTTGGGCCAAAAGTGTGCATTTGGTCCCTGACCACCCTGACAGAGCCAGTCCTCATGCAGCTCCATTGAGAGAATGGAACCCATCAGTACGTTATGGTGAGGATTCCCTGGTTCCTTATGGTGTTTTTCCTCCCTTCCCATTCACCACTTGGTTCAGACACAGATGACCCATCCCAGGTCAGGCTCAGCCTTCTCTTGGCCCTTCCCATTCCCTCACCTCCAGGAAATGGGGACTTACTCTTTTCTGGCAGCTCAAACATCAGGATGTCTAAAGAGGGGAGAAGAGGAGACATGAATTGATGTAACATGAAAACAGGGGTTGTTCCGTATGCTGGGAGCACACATACCTTGGAAGCTCCTCAGGGTCTCCTCCAGAGCAGTGTTTCTCTCCCTGAAGTGGCTGATTCTCTTCTCCAGCTCTGGAAGCATCAGCAGTGGGGGCTGCTGGAAGTGCTCACTTTCAAGCCTAGGAAGGAGGAGGGCACTAAGAGGGGAGGATGCATGTCCCCAGAGTGAGACCAAGAAAGCTTTTGTGCACACCTTTTGGTGCAGGCTTTGATAAACCCGGTGCATGTTCAACCATGGGGAGAGCCGCCTTTGCTCAGGGTCCACACTCAGGGATGTGTTCACAAAGCCTCCGGGTGATGCTAAACACAAGGTCCAGCCCCCCTCCCAAAAAGATGCTTGGGGAGCCCCATACCTGCTCAAGGTGCCTCTGAGGTCCTGGAAGGGAGAGAGGGAAGAGGGTGCTCAGTGAATGGCTCTTCGGAGCAAACCTGAACCACCGACAGCGTGGGTCAGGCTTTGGAGCAGGGCATGGCCTGGGCTTGGCTGCATCACTGGTCCCAGGTGGTGGTACCCAGATGGTGGTACCTGGATGTGGTATTCAGATATGGTACCCAGATGTGGTACCTGGATGGTGGTACCCAGATGTGGTACCCTGGCTCCTCACCTGCAGGTGTTCACTTGCTGGCTGCTGGCACTTCTCCTCCATCTCCTGGATGAAGGAATCCAGGCGGGAGATCTCCTTTGTCAAGCTGGTGACATTTTCTTCCTGCAGCTTCTCAATGTCCCGCTCCAGGTTCCCCAGCTGAGCCAGCAGATGCTGGGCATAGTCCTCCAGGAAGAGCCTCAGCCCTTCCGACTTGGATAGGACCCTCTGGTGCTCGGCTGTGGTCTTCTCCTGCGAGGAGAAGGGAAGGAGAAGGATTCTATTCATCTATCCATCATCCATCCCAAGTATCTTCTATATATATCTGTTGATCTGCTTGCAGCAGTTGAGTCCCCAGCAGGTCTCCAGCCAAAGCCTGACTTCCAGACCCCCCCTTACCAAGTGTTCCCAATTCCTCCTCATCTCAGCCTCTCGCAACCCCAGGAGTCTATTTCTCTCTTCCTTCAGGGCTTGCAGATGGGCCTGGATTTGTCCCTAGGGAAGGAAAAAGGCGTCTGTCTGGAGATTGGGCTACCCAAAAAGACCATCCTCTGGGCAGGGGATTGTGCTGTGGTCAGCTCCAGAGCTGCTTCTCGCGTCCTCCTTGGTCTAGAAGGATCCTGGGAATGCTTGGAATGGAAATAAAAGCCATGTAATGGAGACGGCTCCTGCTCCAGCTCTTGCCTGGATTGGATCCTTTCTCTGAGCTGATTTAACTCACTGATGCAGCAAGAAAACATCCCTTCACTTACACCCCA